AACTATGCGGTATACAACCCAGCCATCGGCTACTCCCAGGGCATGTCGGACCTGGTGGCACCCATCCTGGCCGAGGTCCTGGACGAGTCAGACACCTTCTGGTGCTTTGTGGGTTTGATGCAGAACACGATCTTTGTCAGCTCTCCTCGGGATGAGGATATGGAGAAACAGCTGGTGAGGCTCTCAGTTGTGTATGGCTTGGCTGCTGTGGGTCAGCAAGCAGCAGAAAAGCCAGGGTCAGCCTTGCCAATGGACTGTGGGGGGCTTAGCCCTGGGCCTCTGGGATAGGGCCAGCTCCCCCAGGAGGGACGCATGCTGTTCCCAGGTCTCAGGACACGTGTTGCCATCCCCACCTCACACTCCTGCAGGTCCAGAGTCTAGACTGTGCAGCGCCCTCCCCTTGTGGCTTCCCACCTCACTGCATGTGGCATCCCAACCCAGGCTCCCTGGGAGACAAAGAAGGGGGGGGCCTATCAAACCTGATCCGGTGCTTTGTAAAATGGTTCCTCAGGTGCATCTGGGCCCCTTGCAGGGGTCCAACATAGCCAGGGTTCTGGGGGTGGGGATGGGAGGGCTCCTGAAACCACCTCGAGGCCCGCTGGGTAGTCGTCACAACCGTACCTCCAGGGCAGCAGGCTTGCTGTGTGCAGCCGGCACCCCTCCCTTCATGGCCTCCCCTAACCTACACAGACCAGGCAGCACTGAGACTTGGGAGCGAGGAGGCAGAGCTGGGTAAGGCAGGGCTAGGAGTGCGCACTCTTTCCTTACCTAGCATCTGTGCACTCCAAGCACCTGCTGGGTGCTGCTGGCACTGGGAGATGGTCTCAGGTCCCCAGTCTGCAAGAGATTCTTGGTCTGGAAGCTGACAGTGTGAGGAGAGGATGCTGGGTGCCAGGGAGTGATACAGAAAGAGCTCTGGTGATAGAGATGGGAACGAAGACAGGCGTCCCAGTGTCTCCTTAGACTAGGCCGACCCAATGGCACATGGGGTCTGGCCCTGGACACTGCCAGGCCTGCTGAGACTTGGCCGAGCAGAGCTCTCTGGGCAATGACGCTGGGTGCCCTGGTCAGGTTGGTGGCCCACATGCAATGAAGGTTGAGCTGAATGGAGGGCCTCAAATGCCAGGCCAAGGAGCATGTCCCGTCGACTAGCCATTAGGAAGCCGTTGAAGACTATGGATGGTAGAGCAGAACACAGCAGGGGTTTGGACGAGGGGGAGCCAGGAGCAGGCAGGTGGGGATTGGAAGGTGCCGGGCACCAGAGCGGGGGTGGGGGGCACCCGTGAGGGAGGGAGGGGGTCAGCTGCGTTCCTGGACTTGACCCTGCTGTGGGCCACCGGGTGGAAAGACTGGCCAGTCGGGAAGGATCCTCAGAATCAGTTCCCGTGCCATCCCAGCGGCTGTCTCAAGTAGGAACAATGGGTCGCTTGTGTGGGAAGGGGCCTGTGAGTCACCAAGCCCCCACCCCAGGATCTGTCTGGGATCTCAGCCGAGCCTGCCCACTCTGTGCTCTCTGCATCGGCCCTGTGATGTCAGGTTTCCACGGTACCTGCGGAGGCAATTACGGGCTCTGATGCGATTCGCCCCTGATGGGCTCCGAAGCACATGGCCCCGTGACTCCTTAGCTGCCGGAGATTGATTTTACAACGGTGCTGGTGAAGTCAGCAGCCAGAGCAGGACGTTGCCAGAAATAGCCTCCATCTTATCCCAAGTCACTGGGTGGTGACCTTAAGTGCAGGAATTGAGCCTCTTGGGGTTCAGAAACACCCCCTCTCTGCTCTAAATCAGCTCTGGAAGATGATGGATCTTGGTGATCAGAGCGGAAGGTGGTTGAGTGGGTGTGGGGGAGGGGGCCTTGTCAATGGATGATCTGCTCGACATCCCAGAAGGGAGGGGCTGTCAGAAACAGCCCCATATGGCGCCTGAGGCCTGGGGGTCTTCCTGCCACTAGCCTCCTGGTCCACATCAGGGTGCTGTGCTCTGCCTTGCCCTGGGCCACGCCACAGCCTCCAAAACAGTCTGAAATCTGGGCTAAACTGACAAAGACAGCTGTGAATCAGACTTCCAGCGACAGAACAAAATAAGTGGGTGCAGTGACATGTAGCAGGTAGAGACCTCACGCATAGCACACAGGCTTTGGCGGGCAGGAGGCGTGGACCGAGGAAGGGCCTCGGTTGGAGTGGGCTTCCTGGGCCAGGCAGGCAGGCGTGCTCGGGGCTGGGGGGCTAACTCACCTCGGCCTTGCCCCCAGTTGTACCTGCGGGAGCTGCTGCGGCTGACGCACCTGCGTTTCTACCAGCACCTGGTCTCACTGGGCGAGGACGGCCTGCAGATGCTCTTCTGCCACCGCTGGCTGCTGCTGTGCTTCAAGCGGGAGTTTCCCGAGGCTGAGGCTCTGCGGATCTGGGAGGCCTGCTGGGCCCACTACCAGGCGAGTCAGGCGCGGAGCCCAGGGCTGGGGGCTGGGACAGCGGCTCCAGAGCGACAGTCGCCGTCCTGCACCCAGCCTAAAAGGAGGATGGGGTGCCCACGTAACCGTGCGCCTCCTCTGGGGTCCCCCTCCACCATCCCTGACCCCCCGCAAGCCACAGTCCGCCCCTCACATGGCGACTGCCTTCCAGTCCCACGTGGCCAGCCTCAGACCTGCAATTCGCCTCCCAAGTAACTGAAATCGATGCAAATTGCCCACTGACTGCACTCATTACCACGTTCTGGGGCTGAGCACGCTCCTGTCACAACCAATCAGCGTGAAAGACATTGCGGGGCCGAGCAGGACGCCAGTGCCCACATGCTGGAGCCAGTGCCCGCCCGCCTGCCCCCTCGGGACGGCTCAGGGAAAGGGCCCGAGATCTTGCTTCCCCATCAGCCCCTCTGAGAGCCCGGGCCCGGCCCACTGTCCCCACCCAGGGATGTGATTTCCACTTGCCGTCCACTGTTATCATTGTCTCCTCAACAAATTCCCCTGAGAGCGTCGAACTGGCCCTGTCACACAGCTTTAATGCCCAAATTAGCAACAAGCTGGCGACGTGAAAGGATAGGCAAGTCTCTCTGAATCCATCAGCCTTAAAAAAAAAGTAGTATTGACGCATCCGGGAGGTGGCCAGGACCCTTTCTGCAAGAGCGGGCTCCATCCTCCCTGCGGCAGCCGGAGCCGCTTGGATGAGACAAACCTTGCTGATACATGGGCATGCCCACCAGCCCTCGGAAATGTGCGTCAGCGTTTCCCCTCCTTACTAATGTCAAAGAAGGGTTATGTCTGATAGAAGTGAGTGTGAACAAATGTGGTGCTGGTGCCACAGGCTGTCTTTGTGTTCATCCATCCTCACCCGCCTCCTGCTCCTGCCCCCAGCCTGGCCCAGGTCTGGGCTGCGATTCCTGTGTGGGTTAGCGTGTTCGACGTGCACTGCAGGCTGGAATCAAGGAAGCATTGGCAAGGATGGTCCAAAACACTGGATAACATTAAAAAAAAAAAAAATTGTATCCACTTTGCAAAGCCTCATTGCATGTTTTTCCAGCAGCAAGTTTGCCACCCTCGTGACATCACATTTAGACTAATGTTACAAGTGAACTCAGAGCATTACCCAACAAATGGGGCCATTTCTCAGGCTAAATTTAGCCACATTTGGCCCCACCACTTGATCAAATGAGTGGCAGGAGATTGGAAGCGGGGGGTAGGATGATTGTAGTGGGCGTAGGCTAATTCATTAGAGTGAGCTCGTGGAGCGGGGGTGGTCACTACCAGCTGCTTTAACTTTTAAAGTGTCCCCAGAGTGAGAAAGGCTCCATTTCATTCATTTATGGTACTTCTAGTTTGCCCGCGGGGGCTGGGCTGCCCTGGGCCTCGTCCAGTGAACTGGGATTAGTCCTGTACTGCCATCCAGCCCCATTTAGAATGTGCCCCACCTTTTCTGCCCCAGAGTCCTCTCTGAGAGGAGGTAGACATGCACCTTCCTCCGTCCTCCCCCCTCCCTCCAACCCTCCGCCAACCCTGGCCACAGTTCGAATAGCTGCAGAAGGATCGTTCTGAGCCACATCAAGACCATTCTGGATTAATTCAGAGGAAGGGGCTGGGCAACCTAGAATGGTCTCTTCAGAGTGGGTGGGGTGTGGGATGTTTGCTGCCCATAACTTCTGCCCGCATCCAGGGCTCCTCCTGGCCCTGTTTGCAAAGGAACAAAGTTCTGTCTGGCTGGGTGGCCGCCGTCAGGAGACTAAACACAGGCTTCCTGGTGGTCCTTGTGCTTCCTCCGCCCCCAAGAGCAAGTGTGACTCAAAGGCGGTGTGCCCTCAAAGTGTCCGGGCCTGAGAGCGCACAGGATGTACCCCCGCCAGGACCAAGTGCCGTCTTCCTGCTGTGGGCCAGGCCTTCCTTGCTGGGCAGCCATATGAGGCAGCCTCCAAGGAAGACAGCGGAGTCCTCAATGGGCTCTGTAAAGCTGGTTAAAGATGGTGGGCTCACTGGGGAGCTCCATGGGGACCGTCGTGATCTGCCGTGCTCTGCTCTGAGGCTCTTCTCCCCACTTTCTTATCAACAAACCTAAGAGTCGTCTCTGGGGCACGAGTTGGGACGTTTGGCCTGGAGGCAGGAGGACAGCGACCAGTGGGTGGCTGCCAGAAAGTTCTTTCTCAGTGGCGTGTTCTGTGACCCACTGGAGCGTGTTCTGACGCACCGTCTCTCAAGAGAATGGGCACGGGCCAGCCTTCAGAGGAGCGTGTTCTTTGCCCTGTGCTGGAAAGCCTCCCAGAGGGCTCCCCGGAGAGTAACAGCAGCCCGTGGGTGGCCAGCTGCAATATCGCCCTTTGTATGTCACAGCAGCCTTTGGATGGAGGTGCTCACACTTGCCCATTTGCAGGTGGGGAAACAGGATGAAGGAGGCTGCTGGGCTTGCCCAGGGCCACATGAACCCAGACGACCTCACCCCGAGCCCTTACCCCGCACCTCTGCACTTGGCCTCTACCTGCAGGCAGGGCCTGGGGCTGGGTCAGGGGCCTTATCTGAACCCACTCTCTACCCCCCCAGACGGATTATTTCCACCTTTTCATCTGTGTGGCCATTGTGGCCATCTACGGGGATGATGTCATTGAGCAGCAGCTGGCCACCGACCAGATGCTTCTGCACTTTGGAAACCTGGCCATGCACATGAATGGGGAGCTTGTTCTCAGGAAGGTGAGTGTGGCCCCCACATGCAGGCCCGCCCTCCCATATACAGAGCCCCACCCCTTCACTTCCAGAGCTCCGCCCCCACACAGCCCCCACAAGCCCCGCCCTCCACACACAGAGCCCCGCCCCTTCACTTCCAGAGCCCCGCCCACACACTCCAGCCACCCTGGGAGCTCCTGACCAAGGCCCAGTGGTCAGCATGTCTGGCAGCTGCTCAGGGTGCCCATCAGGCCCTGGCAAAGAGGCTTCTCTCCTCATGGACTGAACAGATCACCTGGTTTGATGGACAGGTCCTCCACGTGCGGTACCTCAGTCCTAGCCCAGAGCCAGGAAAACTGAGCAGGAGGCTTAGGGAGGGGAGGTGGACACTTTTCATCCAAAGTTAGTGGAATAAAGGGCGCCTTTGCCACCTCCCCACTTCCCAGGCTCCTGCTGGAGTCTGCTTCTTAAAGCTCTCTGGTGTCTCCCGGGGGCAGTGAGGAGGGCCTGGGGTCAGGGTGGGGTGGGTAGGAAGAGGGTGGTGGAAACAGACCCTGCAGGGTGGAGAGGTGGAGCCGTGGGGCCAGGCCGAGCCAGGGAGGGACAGGGTGGGCCCTGTGCCGCCTTTGCCTGCCCTGTTCACCCTCCATATGAAGGCCGTTGGGGGAGCCTTCTTTGTGTCAAGCCACATGGGAGCACTGCTCCGGGTACCATGTGAGTCCCGTCCCTCAGCTGGATCACAGTGTTGAAAGGGACGGGGCAGGCAGAGCCCTCGCCCTGACCTGGCACAGGGTGAGCCCTTGGGTGCTGGTTATTACTGCCCCTGCTCTTGGGCCACTGGCTATCCCCCAACGCCCTCGTCACTGCCTGTCCTCTCTGTTTGCAGGCAAGGAGTTTGCTCTATCAGTTTCGCCTCCTGCCGCGGATCCCCTGCAGCCTGCATGACCTGTGCAAGCTGTGTGGGACTGGCATGTGGGACAGTGGTTACATGCCCGCCGTGGAGTGCACAGGCCAGCACCCGGGGTCTGAGAGCTGCCCATATGGGGGCACTGTGGAGACGCCCTCGCCCAAGCCCCCCAGAGAAGGCAGGAGGGGCCCAAAGACGCCCCGGGAAGGCTTCGGTTTCCGCAGATAGGTTGGGCTCCCTGTGCTAGACGAGGGGTGAGGGAACCTCAGCCAGGTCCCAAGCATGGGGGAGGGGGGGGCTAGACTTGGAGGGGATGGGATGATAGAAACGGAAGGAAAATGCCCTTGGGCGGCATGAAGGGAAACTTTTCATATTAAGGACAAAAGCGGAGTCCAGAAGTGACAGAAGTGGAACCCGCCAGCCGCCCAGAGAAAAGTCACCTCCCATAAAAGCGGGACCAGCATGCACGGCCATCCCACCTGGACACGCAGGCTGGCTGGGTTCTCGTGTTGCCTGCCTTTGATGGATCTCGACACGTCCCAGGAATTCCTCCAGCTTCATCAGCCACCGAAGGGTATTGCCAGGCATTGGGAAAGGCAGAGACAGAAGGAGAGGTCTTGTGCACCCACCAGTGCCGGGGACTGCAGAACAAGGGGGTCCTGTCCAGGCCCAGAGACATCTTTGCAAGCCGGACACACCCGCCTCATCAGGCTTCATTCTCTGAAAGAACCAAACATACTCCACAGCTTCTCCAGCCACAGCTGCAAAGCTGATGTGAAGACATCTGCCCCCCATCCCCCCCCCAAAAAAAGCCCCACTGATTTCAGGGTAAAGAGGTGTAAGAGCAGGGGACTGGGGGCTTTCACACTGTCCATTTCAACATCCTGTCCTCTTGGTATGTGAAGGAATCCGCTGTTGAAATGTTGGATTCCTCTCCCTTTGTTGGGGAATGTCTGCATTTGGCATTGTTTAAGGCCAACCTCACCAAATACTGCAACCAACTGGTGTCTGGATGGGTTGAGGTGTGTGTGTGTGCAAGCAAAATCCTCTGAAGGGAATCTGCAATGTTTGAGGGAAGGGGTATTATATTAACTGACCAACCAAGACAAAGGCACCTGAAAGTGCTAGAAAGACTCCCACTTCCCTGCAGGGCCTGCATTCTGCCATGAATGCCAGTCTTCTGTAAGTCAGCTTCTCAGGTGGTTGGACGCAAGAGTGGCCACAGTACAGTAGCTATCACTCAGGGCACCTCTGCTTTCTGTGTGGCAACCAGGTCTTCCCAGCAAGCTCTCCCTGCTCCCAAAGATTCTCATCAGTTGCTCCTGGGATTTAGAGAAGGACAGATAAGGGCATGGGAGGGCTCCCAGCCAGTGTAAAGTGGTGGAGCCATTTGCACAGGAAGCCACCTCTTGAACTGGCAGGAGCAAGGAGGCTGGAATAGTTCCTTGAATCCTCCTGCACATTCTTCTGGGGAGAAAAATTCCTGACGTGCTGAGAGTCATCGTGGAGACACAGCCCGACTAAGCCTTCTTCCTGCCCTCAGCTTTGCTCACTGAGAGCTGACGCTGCTGGATGGCGCCACTTTAAAAAGATGTTTATCAACAGGAAAGAGGAAGTTATCAGGCTCCTCCCTTCTCAGCTTCTCTCTTCTCCATGAGCCCAAGTCCTCCAGCAGGCAGGAGACTGACACTGGTACTTCCAAGTTCCTGGACCCTCTGTCCAAGAGCCTTTCGGAGAGACCATCCTGGAGCCCCATCAGTGCCCAGATCTTAGGGTACTGACCATTATAGTCCAGCAGCAGGATCCAGGCTGGATGGGGGTAGACTTGTGCTCTGCTTCTGGGGAAAGAAGATTGCCTTTCCATCCGGAGGATGGCTCCTGATCCATTATGGAAATGGCTTGAGTTACCCAGGCACTATGTTGACCCTCCTCTAGAGACCACATCCCCATGAACAGACGTAACAGTTATCCATTGCCACAGTAATGCTACATAACAAACAGCCCCCAAAAATGGCGGCCTCAAATAGCACACACTTATCTAGCACATGAGTCTGTGGGGCAGCAGCTCAAGCTGGGCATTTCTAGTCTGGGTTGGGCTTGCTCCCATGCCTGGAGCTGTTAAGTCCCAGGGGGGTGCTCACACATGTCGAGGTGTGTAGAGGTCAGACTTGGCTCTGCTCTGTGCTTCTTGCATCCTTCCCGCAAGCCAGTCCTGGCCGAGGCGAAGGTGGAGAATCAGAAGTGTACAGGCACCTTCCCAAGCCTTGACAGATGCCCCCCGTGCTACCACCCCAGTGGCCAAAGCAAGTCACATGGCCGGACTCAGCATCTAGGGATGGGGAAATGGACCCTGCCCTGCAGTAAGAGAAGTGACATGGTGAGGGACTGGGCTTCAGGGAGGGGTGAGGAACTGGGCGGCTGGTACGGGGCTGGAAGAGTCTACCAGCACCACAACGAAGTCCTGGTCCAGATAACACTGTTTTGGAGCTCACCTTCTACCTGGGGCGTGACTTCCCCTGAAGGGGCAGGAGATGCCTAAGAGGAGAAAGAGTGCTCCCACCTCATCCTCCGTAGCAGAAGAATGTCCGTGCATTTTACAATACCTTGTGCCTTTGGGCTGCTGTGTGCGGGGTGGAGGGAGAGGGGTCCCAGGCTCCCTCACCTCCCCAGGAGGGTCTGGATGGAAAGTGCTCATTCTGAACCTCCCAGCTCCCACAGCCCCTCACCCCCACGGCTCCCCAGGACCCTCCCACCTCTCACCCTAGGGGCTGGGTGAGGTCCCAGTGAGATCTGGGCCTCCTGGAGCAGCCGGGACCTCGAAAGCTGAAGACCTGGGTGTGTGGGCTCTGCGAGGTCCCGCTGCTCCGGAGGGATGGAGAAGGCCCGCCCCTGCACGGCTCCCTTAATCTGGATGCAATTAGAGGAAACCAGCCAAAAACCCTGCGGCAGCTGTTGCCTCAGGATTATTCCCAGCCAGCAAAAGGCATTAGGGTGATAATTCAGTCATTAGACTTTTAGCCTTCCCACCGCCAGAACATGCAAATACAGGATAATCAGCCCAGCACGGCCATCCTCGGCCATACTGCTTATTCAACCCATTTTTTTTAAATGACACTTAACGTTATTGGCTGGGGTGTGTGTGCATGCATACTTAAAAGTTTCCCCACCGCTAATGTCTGTGCTGACGTTACATGATGTCGTCGGGGCCTCTGGGAAGAGAGGGCACCTTTGATGCGCATGTGCTGGCACAGAGAGGGCAGTGGGGCAGGGACTCACAAGCCCAGTGGGGCTTCACCCTCTCAGGAAAGGCGGATGATGGCAGGATGAAGCTGGGTGTGGGGAAGGTGGGCATATAGTGGGATCAGGGTCTGGTTAAGTGCAGAGGGGAACAGTGTGCTATTCCAGAAGGTTCTGACTTAAGTCCCAGCAGGGGAGACTTGGAACTCACAAGTCAAGGGAATTGGAGTTCTTGAGCCAATTAGAGGGGTAGGGATAGGCAGGCTGGGAGGGGTCCCCAGCCCATCTCTGCAGAGGAGGAGGGTCTGCAGTCCAGAGGGCAGTTCCATTGGCGGCCTTGGTCTGGATGCCATCAGTAGGCAGCGCTGTGTTGTCCTGATCGGCTAAGTGTCAGGCAGGACAGATTTTTGAATCCAGGACCTTTGAGTTTTCTGTAAAATCCTGCTGGGGGCAGACAGCTGGACAGGATGAAGATGCTGGTCCTGAAATGAGGGCAGTGGCTGGCAAAGGTCACCCAGCTCTGACCTTTGATGGGTAGGAAATGGGGCAAAATCTGTGGACCACAGTGGGGGACCTCTGTGGCTCTCCCCTCGGTTTTTTGTGAGGTCCCTCTGAGCTCTCTTGTCTGCTTCTTGTTCGGTAGAAATAGCTGGGAGGAGGGCATCCCCCAGGGTGGTGGGAATCTGCTCATGGCTGTGCCCTGCCCCTGCAGAAGCCTCCGTCCTCTGTTTGGCCTCCCCTCCACCATGCAGGGAGGCTGGAGGGCGGCAGGAGCGCCGGGGTCCACCCGGCCGAGAGAAGGAAGCCTCTTCCAGTTTGCTTGCCCAGCAGAGGCCCCCAGAGGCTGCCCCGCCTCAGAGGAAGGAGGAGGAGTTTCCCTGGGAAACCCCACACACGTGCAGAGGTGCAGCCCTAGACCGGCCTGCAAGCTGTGCCACAAACCCATAGCAAAGGGAAGGAGCCTGCGGGCCTGGCCTGAGGCCAAGCGCTTCCTCTGGAGACCCTGGGGAACCAGATGGCCCAGGATCTGATTAGCCCTGGGTTTCTAAGCCAGGCTGCAAGGCCGTCCCTCGAAGTGAAAGCATTCTTTCCCCGCCCGTCCTTGGCTCAGAGGGAACTGCCCCCAAAGTTGTGAAGCCTAAGAACAGGGCTCCCCTACAGCGGTTGCGCAGTGCTGCGTGGAAGGAAGACGCTTACCTAGGGGTCAGGAACCTGGTTCTTGTCCTGCCTCTGACCCTTCCCAGGTGTGTGACCTTCCTGCACTCTGAGCCTCAGTTCCCTCATCTGTAGAATGAGAACGGCGCTGCCCTCCCAGCCCACCTCACAGGACTGCGGTGGGGACTCTCCAGGTGAAGGTGTCATGAAGATGGTTTACCAGCCCCGGGGGCTTCACCTGCCACTCAGGGAAGAGACCACTGACCCTGGCCTTGCAGCCTTGGCGGAAAGGCGGCATGCTCCCAACCCGAGAGCTCGCCCTGCTTTGAGAGTCGGCAAACCCACTCCCTTCTACACGTCCACTTTGCTGCATGTCCCCGACTAAGGGGGACCTCTCTGTGCCTCTTCTGTGAAATTCACCCCATGCCACCCCACTCCTGCCGTGAGGATAACCGACCATAAGCCATGACCTTGGTGACCCCGAGAGATGTGTCTGTGTGCCATGTGCCCAGCTCTGCATCAGGGTTAAGGTCCAGGCCTCGGACCCCCACGGCTGTGAAACCCACTCAAGCAGGTGGCTGTGGCCTCCTGGGTCAGGCTGTAGAGACTGGAGAGGGGTGTCCCTGGGCCTCTTGGGGGTAGGGCGGGCATGCAAACAGCCTGCAGGCATCTGGCCGTTAAACACATTGTGCTGAATTTCTAGGTAGGAAAGTACATTTCAAGTTCAGAGATCAAGTCACTTGGTCATCTTCTCTCCAGCACCTTGTGTTAGTCAGAGGGCAGGGTTTCTGTTGTTTAAGGGAATGTTTAATGAAATTCCCACCATTACCAAGAGA